CTTCTCTCCCAGGTGCAACAGAGCGGGTCAGTTACCCTCCAAGTACTGGCTGCCGAATGTAAAGCACGGATAACTCTCAGGCATGATTCGGCCATAGTTCAAGGCGCTTCTACTGCTTGCTCAGTCAATGCAGTCGCAGCATTTAAGCCACCTCCGATTATGCGGCCCAAGCAAGTCCCCAAGTCGAAATCCCCGCCCTCTCCTTGTCAGCACTGTGGCGCGTGGCATTTGCATCGGGATTGCACGTTTCGGCAACACCACTGCCAGAACTATAATCAGGTGGGGCACCGTGATGGGTGCTGCCAATCCTCAACTGGTGTGCGCAAGCCCACCCCGCTAATTCCAATCTCAAGCGCCGCTTCAAACCAAAAAGCAAGTCAAAAACTCGGACTCTCGGCAGTTCTCTCAGTCTCTTGGCCACAATCCAGGTTAACACGGCTGATCACCGGAGATTCGTTAATATATTTCGCAACCGCCACGCATTTCGCCTACAACTGGACACTGCGTCAGATATCACAATAATCTCTGAGAGAATCTGGCAGTCACTTGACGCCCTCACAATGCGGCAGACTTTTCAGTCCGCCACAAGTGTGTGCGGTGACCTTGTCCAGTTAATGGGACAACTGCAATGCTGCGTTTCCTTCCGCGGCACTAGCATCACTGCTACTTGCTACATCACCAATTCTAACCTCAATCTCCTTGTTCTTGACTGTATTGAACAAGTTGGTTTGGTCTATTTGCCGCTCAGTCTTGTGTGCAGTCAAGTGCAGGTTCCTGCTGTACCTGCGGAACCCGCCAACGACATTCTCCGCAGTTTACTCCAGTGTGCCAAGACGGCCTGGGTGGTTGCACAGACGCAAGCCGTGCTTCATCTCTGTCCTGGGAGTCAACCAGTTCCATCTGTAGCCTTGCCTCTTGTCGATGCTGAACTGAAGCGCCTGGAGGAACTTGGAGTCCTGACACCTGTGTCCTAATCCACCTAGGCTGCCCCCCATTACTGTGGTTAAGAAGCCGAATGGTTCGATTCGTATCTGCGCCGACTTTTCTATCGGTCTCGACGCCGCTCTGGCGCCGAACTGCTATTCACTGCCTGTCCCCGATGATTTATTCTCCCCGCTGAATGGTGGCACTTCTTTTGCCAAGTTGGATCTAGCGATGCGTTCATACTTGCAGATCGAAGTTGCTCCAGAATTGCTGACAATAAACAC